GGTTCTGTATTGCTGGAGACTGGATTTGGTGCTAGGTGCGTGCCAAATTTGGTCTCTAATGTATAATCTTCATTTATTGGAGAGGATAGAGAAAAAGATACAAAGATGGATAAATTTGGGAAAATGGAGAGAAAAGGAAAGGGAAGAAAAGCAATAAATAAATCTGAGTTTCAGTTTTTGTACTTATTTGAGTATTAAGCTTCATAGTCCCATGCATAAACTAAACTTGCAGTGTTAGTTTTTTTTCCTCATCTTTTTTAGGGAAACTTTTTCTTTCTTGGGAGAATGGTGAGTGATTCTGTTAGTCAAAATTCCCAAAGAGATTATTTACAATGTACTCCAGGCATTCTTTTAGGGACACTTTGTTTGTCCTTTTATACTTTGGGTGGAATCAAAGTAACACCTGTGTTTTTTTTCTTGACCTGTAACTACCTTGTGCTTTTACTCCATTGACAGAACATGTGCTGCCGTATTCCTCTTGTTATCTGTTTATTTTCAAAAATGAATAAATTACTATATACGACTTTTTTGGTTTCACTTGGCTGTCATAGAGAAGCACAGATGGCTTTTGGGGTCTCTTGACCTTCAGACCTATCACTCGTGTTATGAATCATGGTGTGACAAAGCAGCTTGATTTTGATGATTTGCTTGCTCTGCCAGCAGATATGGTTCCTTCAACATGCCATGAAAGGTTATTAAGCTGCTGGCATTCCCAACAGAGTGATTATTGCTCCAATCCATCACTTTTCAAAGCAATCTTCACTTCATATGGGTGGCCTTATCTTCGTCTGGGTTTACTAAAGGTATTCTTTTTTGTGTTAAGGATTCTTTTCAGGCTCAAAAAAAATGTTAAAGGCACTATGAAAATGAGAAGTCTGCTCTATACATCTTTCTGTTACTATAACCAATTAATACTGCTGTTGACTTTGCTTGTCCTTTTTGGTTAGCTGGGGAAAAACATATGTGGTATTGCCCTTTTTTATTTGTCTGGTTTTATTCTTCTAAAACATTATGCATGCATGAGTTTTGGATGCTGAATTGTGCTTGCCAGATGGGTGGGTTCAAATGTTAGAAAAATAAAATCATCTGTTTGTGGAAAAAAAGTTAAGAACTTTCAAATTTCTTTATTTGAATTTAATGCTTTATAAAAAAAAATTCTACCTTTTCAGGTTTTCAATGACTGCATTGGTTTTGCGGGACCATTGCTTCTGAATAAGCTAATTCGGTATCTTCAACAAGGTTTTACATCATTCTTATTCTTCAGGAAAATGATATTCACCACTAAATACTGATGGAATGTTTTAGTATTCATTTTATTTCCTGAACATTTTCAGTCATTCATTATTGAATTGAACCTAAATTTACATTCTTTTCCATATTGTTAGAATGAATATCAAAATACAACAGCAAACTTTATAAAACAATCCAAACCTGTTGGGGCTGGCTCAAGTGGTGAAGGAGTGATGTGAACCATGCACAGGTTCAAATCCCTCCCTTGCCATTTGGGTGCAAACATTCCATAGGCCATGCTCGCCTGTGTAGTTAGATGAATAGATGAGGCAGTTTGTAGGTATCCATGTTTGGGCAAAAGGTTAGGATACCCATGTTATCCACAAAAAAAAAAAAAAAAAAAAATTGTTATAAAAGAACTGAAGTGTTTTGGCAGCCAACTAACTTAGTGATTGCATGATTCTGTTTTCAGTTTTGCTTTATAAGGTCCATTACTACTTTTAGTTGAACAAACTTAAGTTTTAAATGATACCATTTTTTTTCTCTTGATCTGTGCCATTTAAGATGATTCAGAATGCACAACAGAATGATTAGAAAGATTTTTCTTTAGAACACCTACGATTTATAACCCATAAAATTATGAAACTTAGAAGAGATATGCACTTGGATGCCTTTTTGGGTTTCCATACCAGCGGTGACTTGTGTGTTTGTTGAGAATGGTCTGACTTACTTTTTCTTTAAAATGGACATTGTATTTGTTCTATTAAAAATTGCATGTGGAATTTCTATGTTTGAACAATAATCTATGTGCTGTTAAATGATGATGATCCAATCTGTAATACACATGGATATCGTTTTTCGATAGGGCTATAATATATATTATTTGAAAATTTCCAAAGATAAAGTTTAACAATTTATGTTTGTGGCAGCTATCCTCCCCTGCCACAAATAGACATCCATATATCAATTTTATCCTTTTGTCATTCAGAATGTAGACAGTTTGAGTTAGTGTTGCAATTTTTGTATTTATATGTAATTTTTTTGACATTTTCTTTGTTCAGGTTCAGGACATTTGGATGGCTATGTTCTTGCCATATCACTAGGCCTTGTATCCGTCTTTAAGTAAGCCTTATTTTAATTAATAAATGATTATTCTACTTATTTCTTCTTTTGCTATGTATTTGTTCACACTTTGGTTCCTTTCTGTTGATTATTTTATCTTCTTCCTTTTTTTTCTTTTTTCTTTTTTCTCTTTTTAATCATAACTTAAAATACAAAATGTTGCCCTAAAATGAGTCTTTAAGAAAAACTTGTTAGTTTCACTTGATTAAATAAATATTCTAATTTGGTACTGTAAAATAATATATCAGGACAAGACTTGAGTAAATCTGCCAACACACAATTGTGGTGGGTTAATGAGTTTTGATGTTATCTTCAAGGCCATTTCAAGGCAGAATACGAAAATGATACAGTAACTATGGTTAATAATGGTGTTTGATTTAGGGTTGATATGGGATGAAAGAATCAATAATTTAAGAAGTAATGCATGCTATCAATTATGCACTGGGTTAGGGTTTGTGAGTTATTAACAGGATGAAAAGTATATGCCCTTCTTACATTCATTTGTATAGTCTTCATTTTTTTTTTTTTTAATGTAACAATGTTATTTTATGATTTTAATTATCAGCCCATAGACTTTTAATTTATTTAGCCGAAGTAGTATGTTTGTTGATGCCTGACTATATCTGAAAGTTGTGGTTGATAAATGTTTATGCCAATCCTGCAGATCCTTTTCTGATACACAATATAGTTTCCATCTTTCAAAGCTAAAGCTAAAGCTACGATCTAGCATGATGACTGTTATCTATCGCAAGGTATCTTAAACATTTAGCTTTTGAATTATGAAACATTTTAAGAAGAGATACTGCAAATGATTCTATTTAATTATGGGCTACAATTATGAAAGCAAGTGTCAATTTATCATAACTAGATGTTCCTTTGCTTGTATTTTCGCATTTTATGTCTGCATCACTAAGCTCAGCTGACATGCTTATAGTATTCTGTTTGACGGCCAAAACAAATAGGATTCTTTTTGATATGGCACAGTGTATTGTATGATACGTAGAGAGGTGGCAAATTTTTTAGGAAGTTATGATTAACAAGGAGACCTGGGAATTGTATGTATGTATGTGGGAGCACACACACACACACACACACACACACACACACATTTCAATTTACAATTTACATTTGATTTTTCCAACTGATCTGAGTTTAGCTGCTTTGAAATATCTCAGTTCTTAATGCTTTGCTACCAGTGTTAAATTCATGCAAACTTTCATTTCAGTGTCTAATGGTTAGCATAGTAGAGCGGGCAAAATTTTCTGAAGGGGAAATTCAAACATTTATGTCAATAGATGCTGATCGAGCTGTCAACTTGTGTAACAGTTTCCATGACATGTGGAGGTAAATTTATAATCTTGTATCACATATCAGGCATCATATTCCTTTTGTTAAATAGTTGAAACTAGTTTGGTTGATAAAGTAATTCTTTTTTAGGATAGAATGCTTTTCTTGTTTTATCCTTTTTATTTCTCCAATGATTAAAAGGATTAATAACAAACTATTACCATGTTTGAAGTTACATCTGTTATCATCTTTTGGTTTTTGTCAGCACTTCTCATTAAATTTTGGCCATTTTTCAGTCCTAGGATTTTTTTTAGAGAGCATTTTTTAGCATTTTTTAACTTCAAAGTTTTATAAGTCATTCATTGCTTAAGACACATCATAAAAACCAAACAAATATCGCAAGTGAATTTACATGTTGATGTCCATATGCAGTAGGTGGGATCTCTATGCCATTTTGTTTCATGGAACAAAATTATCAAGCTTTGAAAATTATAGTATAATCCATATACATAAAATTTTGAACTCTTGTTTCCATGGAAAGGGTCATAGGATCATATTTTGTAAATGATTCTCTTTTACAGAAGATTAATCTAGAGCAGATATGTAGCTAACATAAATTTTATATTGTATTTCTCATGAGTGTTTCAGCCTGCCTTTACAAATTGGTATAGCATTGTATCTTCTGTATACACAAGTCAAATTGGCTTTCATGTCAGGACTTGCAATAACCATCTTACTGATACCAGGTATTCATGTTGTTTTATGTTATTTGATTCTGTACTTGGTTACTCCATATTTATAAAATTTATTGGTCTGTGGATGCATTAAAGAGGGTCAAGGTAGTCTCTGTTTTCCTTGAACCCTTGATTATGTGGTTTGGGAAACCCTATTATTTGATATATATATGGTCTTTATTACACCCTAGTCCGGAATAATTAGACTTCCTTACTGTGCATTTTATTTCTTCTTGTAACTTTTCTGCAAAGTCTGATCATACATTGTCACTATATATATATATTTTTTTGCCCTCATAACTGTTGAAATTTGTTGTCTGTAGTAAACAAGTGGATTTCTGAATTGATTGCTAGTGCAACTGAGAAAATGATGAAGCAAAAGGATGAAAGGTACGTCATCTTTGATAGCATTATTTCCTACAGCCTAAATATGATTGCCAAGACCATTTTAAGATTGGGCTGTCCTTCTTGCCTATTTATTTGATCTCTTAATCCTTGATAAAATGAAGAAGTATTAAAAAGGATGTGTCAATAATTTAATAAATTGGTGGATGACATTGTTGATTTTGTGATGTATGGCACATAGAGTATGTATTTTTGAAGATCTTGAATCGCCACCAGCCTATTATTCTCTTAAATTAGAGTATGTTGAAATATTTGTGGAATGTGTTGTGTTGGTAACTTGGCATAGGTCATGGGGAGTTTGTATTTCTGGAGATCTTGAAAATCTCTCTGACTCTTTTGTTCTGTTAAATCCAAATTAAACTGTACTTAGCTTAGGGGCCTTAAGCATGCGAAATTAGTTTAACCATTCAACCATTGTTATTCTTTTGTTTATTTGCCAGATATTCTGTTGGTAAAGTTTGTGAAATTGAGTCATGCAAAAAATTTAGTGAACTAGATGACTATTTCCTGTCCAAGGGCTTCTTCAGGACTGATTTTTTTGTGTTTTCAGTTGTCTGTTTGTGATTCCTTTTTCTCTTTATGGTGGGGATTCGCAATAAAACTGAGCCAAATAGGAAGAATTTGATTCTTTTGCTGAAAACAGTACTGGTTTGCCTCTATACATTGATAGGGATTGGATATGATGATAGGAACCAATCTAGTGCCATAGTGGATATAGTAAGAACAATAGTCTCACACTTTGTTCGATAATGTCTTTGATTGATTAGTAAAAGAAAGATGTCATTTGATTGATCAGTTTCTGTTACTATAAAATAAAGAGTAGAAGTAGGTAATTACATTAATTTAAAAAGAAAGATTAACAGCTTGGTATTCTGGCTATGATTATAACTGCAGTTACTGTAATGGAATAAAATCATGTGGAGTTCTTAGGGTTGACATTATTTCCATTCAAATCTGTTTGCTCTTTGACAGGATTAGAAGGACAGGGGAACTTTTGACAAATATACGCACTTTGAAGATGTATGGATGGGAGCTACTATTTTCTAGTTGGTTAACAGATGCAAGATCTTTAGAAGTCAAGCACTTAGCTGTAAGGAAGTGTGTTTTTGTTCATTTAAGAATTATTCATGATACAATATTCATCCCTTTCTTCTTGCAGTGGGTTTTTTTTTTTTTTTTTTTGTCCGTCCTTACATTTACACTTTTCATGTTAGACCCGGAAATACTTGGATGCGTGGTGTGTGTTCTTTTGGGCAACAACACCAACTCTATTCTCTCTATTCACATTTGGACTTTTTACATTGATGGGAAATCAGCTTGATGCTGCAATGGTATTAATAACAGTTCTTTTCCTCAATTTTAAATGTTATTTTGTCAGTGTTCTCTCCAGAAACTTACAATAATGTCCAATAAAGTTGATCTTTCTAAGAATCATTACTGCAGGTCTTCACATGTCTAGCTCTTTTTAACAATCTGATTTCTCCTCTCAATTCATTTCCATGGGTCATTAATGGACTTATTGATGTGAGTTTGCTTATTCTATGTCTTTTGAAGTAAATCGTTTCCTTGCTTGGTAGTTGTGCAGGGAGATGATTCAACTTGTCTATTTTCTTGTCACAGGCCTTTATATCTATCAGACGGTTAAGTAGGTTTCTCTGCTGTTCGGAGCACAAAGTTGGAATGCAACAGACGCCTAATCTACCCTCTTCCTCAAATGGCGGGTCTGATTCTGTTTCTGAGGATATGGCTGTAGTCATTCATGATGCCTGTTGTGCTTGGTCAAAGAGTAATGAGGAAGTGGAAAATTTAGTGTTAAATCATGTGACACTAGGTCTTCCAAAGGGTCTGTTGGTTGCAGTAATTGGAGAGGTAAGATATCCACCTGCAGCCTTATTATATTCTTTTCCCATTTTTTTTGGATGAGAAATTTTATTGTTCAAGCATCCAACCTTCAGTAGTTGACAATAACTGGATAGACAGAACTTACTTGTAAGGTCATAAGAAAGCCCTTATTAAATCAATCTGGGATTGCCACTTAACTATTATCAATCACCTTTTTTGTTGTTTGTTGTTAATGGAAGGAGCTATTAGTCCTCATCCATTCTGCTATAATGCTATTAATTTCCTCTTTTCAGGTTGGCTCAGGTAAATCATCCTTGTTAAATTCAATATTGGGAGAAATGCAGCTTGTACGTGGATCAATAAAATCTCATGGGTCCATAGCATATGTACCACAGGTCTTTAGACAAATAATGGATCAGTCTCAGTATCTACTATCTGTTTCTCCTATTTTATGTAATTTAATTTATGTGAACTGCATTACCAAAATTGCAGGTGCCTTGGATCTTATCTGGAACAATTCGTGATAATATATTGCTGGGGAAGTGTTTAGATCCAAACAGGTCTAGTCCAATTGAAATAGAAAAAATTGTTTGTCTTTTCTTTTTTTCTTTCAACAATTTCTTTTTATCTCAATTACTGCATAATTTGGTACTTATGGTCATTAAATTTCAAGGCACACGAAAGTGCTGAAGAAACCTAGTGTGTAGGCACAAGCTTGACGAACGTGAGGAGCATGGTGATTAAGGAACTTTTATAAAATGCTTAGGTGACTGATTTTGAACTTGTAAACAAATTATAAGTAATTTTTGGATATGCAAAAGGTCAAATACTAATTACAAGGCTGCTAAATTAAAAACACATAGAATTAAGTAAATATCTCTACAATCACCCAATGTACAAGGAAACATGAGACAAACACATAAGAGAACTCATTAATGGTCAATTTTACTTTTCCACCTTGTGCAGATATTCAGAAATTTTGAAGGCCTGTGCATTGGACATAGATATTTCATTGATGGTTGGACAAGACATGGCTTATATTGGAGAGAAAGGAGCCAACTTATCTGGTGGACAGAGAGCTCGTCTTGCTTTGGCAAGGTTATCTCCTTTATGTATTATAAGGCTACTACTTAATTGATTAAACTGAAATTTTTTATTTTCATTTAATGTGAAGGAATTTATTACAGTTTTTGTGCATTTAACAGGGCTATTTATCATGATTGCGACATATATATGCTTGATGATGTCCTTAGTGCAGTTGATGCACATGTTGCTAAATGGATTTTGAATAATGCTTTCCGGGGTCCTCTTATGAGCCAAAAGACTTGTGTGCTTTGCACTCACAATCTCCAGGTTATTTCCCCTGAATCCCTTTGGTGATGCCTTAGTTTGTGTTTACTTTCATAGCTACATCATTTAATAATTGTGAACTAAGTGAGTTAATTAATAGTTATTGCATCTGTTAGATTTTATTTTGTTAAATCTGAAAGAAAATTGAATTGTGGATTTTACTGGTTAATATTCTGTCACTAGAACTATTATTTTTCCAATCAGTAGTTTGATATTGGTCTGAATGGTTCTTCAACTTTAACAGGCTATATATTCTGCTGATATGATTGTTGTAATGGAGAGGGGATATGTGAAATGGGTGGGAAGTTCAAATGACTTCGCAGTTTCTGTAGACTCTATATTATCTTCAGTTGACAAATTTGATAAATTGCATATTCATGGCCAAGAAAGCAGACCTAGTACTTTGGGCAAACAAACTGTCCCCCAAGAGATTGATTCTATGCATCTCTCATTGGAACCACAAGAGGTTATTGAAGTTGAGGAGAGGAAGGAGGGTACAGTTGAACTTATTGTTTATAAGTAAGTGATTGCTTTTACTTTTCTATAATTTAATAATTTATGCGTTCCACTAGATTTTTATATTTTGAAAATCAAGAGGTTCAGCATTTTCCATTTTGTTCACAGCTAATTTTTTTTTTTATTTTTTGGCCAATACAGCTAATTCTTTCTTAGTTGTTAATATTAATATTCATTAACAATAATTTTTTGCAGAAAATATGCTGCATTTTCTGGTTGGTTTGTTGCAGTTGTCATTTTCCTTTCAGCAATTTTAATGCAAGCTTCTCGCAATGGAAATGATCTGTGGCTCTCATATTGGGTTGATACAACAGGAAGCAGTCAAACAAAACATCCAACATCTTTTTATCTGGTATTGGTTTCTTCTGTTTGACAGACTTACAAGAGTGCAACTAGTCATCTTGATCCTTTTTTTCTTTTGTTCCTTCATCTCTATAAGTGTAATATGGCTTCATTTCTATAAGTGTGAAGCTTGAAAATAATGAATGCCATGGAATTTCCAGAAATTTTTTCAACATTTAAATTTATAATCCAGCACCTTCAAGGTACTCCACTAAGCTCAGTACAGCATTACTTTTCAATTTTTAGAAGTTGAGTGGATCAAGTTGTTAATTTGCATGCAGATTGTACTCTGCATCTTTTGCGTTGTAAATTCCTCCTTGACATTGGTGAGGGCATTTTCATTTGCATTTGGTGGATTACAAGCAGCAGTTAAGGTGCACAATACACTGCTTAATCGGCTAATTAATGCACCTGTCCAGTTCTTTGACCGAACACCATGTGGAAGAATACTTAACAGGTTGGAATGAGACCCTTCTTAGAGATTTATAGTGTTTTTGTTTTATATATCATATGTGGTTTTATCATGCAGGTTCTCTTCAGATCTCTATGTGATCGATGATTCTCTTCCCTTCATTCTCAACATCCTTCTTGCTAATTTTGTTGGTTTGTTGGGTATTGCAGTGGTTTTGTCATATGTTCAGGTGCTGTTGGAATTCATCACCTTGCTTTATGTCTTTGGAAATCCTAATTTGTTAGTTGTCTTCTATGGTGAACCATTTTCTGAAGTGGTTTTTGGTGATTTGTAATTGTAGGTTTTCTTCTTGCTTCTGCTATTGCCATTTTGGTACATCTACACGAAGTTACAGGTATCTGTTTGAGTATTTTTGTATTGATACTCTTAAAAGTGAATTTCTTGAAAAAATGAGTAAATTGTCTTTGTTGTGTTTCCTGACACTGGGTAGAATATGCACTGTTCTTTGTGATTATTGCAGAAGGATAGGTCTAGAAAGATATTTTTATAGATAGAAAGTCCTAAAACCAACTGCTGAGATTAACAACTACGTGTTTTATCTGAACATCTTTCCAGAATTCCAAATCCTAGAAGGCTTTTTATGTGATAGAAACAAATCTGACTATCCTAGCTTTTTTTGTGATTAGGGTGTCCATAATTTATCAGGTTAGTACATAAATACTTTTTAGTCTCATCCCAATTTCTATGTTAGGCTAGCCCAAATTGTGCAGTAAACTCGACCCAAATTTAAACATTAATATGGCTGATTTTAAGCCCAAATGTAGCAAAACAAAATCAATTAGATTGTTTGACATGTCTATTTTTTTGTTTGAGGGAATAATCAACTCAGGGCACTCTACTACTCAAAACTGCTGTAGTTTTTTTACAGATCAACATCAAGGGAACTAAGAAGGTTGGACAGTGTCTCTCGTTCACCAATATATGCATCCTTCACAGAGACACTAGATGGATCCTCAACCATACGGGCTTTCAAGTCTGAGGTAAATATTTGCTGTGTGAATTACTGGTTATTGGTATTTGCATTGAGATATTAGGTCTTCTAGTTGTTCCTTTACCTGTTTTGGTATTACAACCTTCTATTTAAATAAAATAGTATAATAAGGAGAATAGAATATGTTCAACCTTATGGCATGGGATGGCTGCCATTTTTTGAACATGCTCAGTAAGGCATCTAGATGCTTTACTTCCATGAAATATTAGGATATCAAACATCTTGCCTCATATTATTCTAGCCTGCCTAAATGTATTGCTTTGCCTGGGCCAAGAAAAAACAAAAAAGGGAGCACTTTGCTATTTTCTTTTTATCTATAAATTGCCTTTTAGGACCATTGTGGTAAAATTTTTATTTACATTTTGTCTCTCAGTGAAGCACCAAGCAATTTGTTCCATCAGGAAATTAGTCTGACCTTGATTTTGCACTTATTGTGGGTGAAGATGGTTGATTTGTTGGTCGATACTAAATCTGCAATAATGAAAATTTTGAATTTAGTTAATACTTTTAGGCAGGGTATTGATACTTTTCTGCATGGTACATAATTCAGACTTTAACTATGTATCAATCCTTAATTCATGTTGATGCATCCCAATATCAATAGAAGCTTGAAAACACAGTTGAGTTTCACAAATTTGGTTGCTTGCATCATCCATAATTATCAAACCTAAGCAGTTCTAAGGAATTCAAGTTTGGTTTGAAGTTCAAATACATTCAAGCTCAGCATAGTTGATGACTCTGATAAGTATGAGTTATTGAAAATTGAAAACTGATAGTGACAGTTAGGACTGGATGTCGACAGGACTATTTCTTGGCTAGATTCACTGAGCTTGTGGCACTGTATCAGAGAACTTCTTACTCAGAGTTAATGGCAAGTTTGTGGCTTTCCCTGCATCTTCAGGTACAATTTGATATATTTTAGCTATGGATGCTAAATCCTTTTCATTTCCATCTAATTCATTTTTTTTTCTCTATTGAAAAAGAAAGTTGCTTAGCATTGAAAGTTTTGAACCCCTGACCTTGACCCAGAATCATCTAGCAAAATCTCTTTCCATTGCCTGACAGAGAGACTTTTTCTCTTGGATGTCATCTGAACTTTCAATATAAGATTCTTTTTAACAATTCCAGTGTCTTTTTTCAGTTATTAGCATCATTCATAATCTCATTTGTTGCTGTGATGGCTGTCATTGGATCTCGTGGAAGTTTACCCATTAGCTTTGGTACCCCAGGGCTGGTATTGTCATCTCCCGTTTATTTTGAATTTTGAACATATTCATTATTTATATTCAAGTGTTATAGGTTCTTAATCATTTTCTTATATTTGGAAACCAACTTGATGACTTTTTGGATGGTTTATTCTGTTATAGGTAGGATTGGCTCTCTCATATGCAGCTCCGGCTGTTTCTTTGCTGGGATCCTTTTTGACAAGTTTTACTGAAACAGAGAAAGAAATGGTTTCCATTGAGAGAGCTCTTGAGGTATGAATATATATTGGTACATTCATTCATTTCTATTTATTGTTATTGATTATAAACCAATTTCACTCTTTCTAGTACATGGACGTGCCCCAAGAGGAACTCCAGGGATGCCAGTCTCTCTATCCCGGTTGGCCATTGCAAGGAGTTATTGAGTTTCAGAATGTTACCATGAAATTTATGCCGTCCTTGCCAGCTGCCTTGGATGATATCACTTTTACAATTGCAGGAGGGACACACGTAAGTGCTATTTTAATTTTGATTTGCTTACCAAAGATTTCTATGACTAGAGGTATTTGATTTGGATATGAATTCCTAATAGCAGTCTGATGTTTCAACATGTTCAATCAGGTTGGAATTGTTGGAAGAACGGGTGCTGGAAAATCTAGCATCCTGAATGCTCTTTTCCGCCTGAACCCAATATGTAGGGGACAGATTTTGGTTGATGGGCTCAACATAATCAATGTTCCTGTTAGAGATCTTCGGGCACATTTTGCTGTTGTTCCCCAAAGTCCTTTTTTATTTGAAGGATCTTTAAGGTACACTAACATTTTTTGCTTTTTCTTTTTGATAATAATGCAATCTGCTCTCTAAACTGACTGATTTGATGATCCAGCCTGCCTCTGGTGAGTGTTCATGGATAGTTTCATTAACCTTATAAAATATTAGAAGACCTGAGATCTCTACGCTATAACTTGCTGGTTCTGTTTTTTGTTTTCTTATTGCTTGATCAAGAATTATAGCAAGGTGGATTTCTTTTCCTGGAAAGAAATTATAATAATTACTCCTTTTTTTT